GTGGCGTGGCCAGCGTGGCCACCAGCAGCACTACTGGCAGCAGCAGGAAGAGGCAGAGACAGAGGGCGAGGTGCAGCAGGTACGCTGGGGAGAGGATGTCCACACTCCAGCGGATGCAGCTTGTCTCTGGGGCTGCCACCGTGCCGCTGGTGAGAGCCACCGGCGTTGCTAGCAGTAGTGCCCCGGCCCACATGGCCACGGCCATCCACTGGCTCCGGGGATCCCAGCGGCACCAGGCGGTTCTGCAGGAGCTGCTGCCCACCAGCAGCCCCTGTGCAAAGAGGCTCCAGTGCCACAGCAGGTGGGTGAGCTTACACAGCCCCGTGCCCAGCTGCCAGCCCTGTCTGATGCCCACTGTTTTTAGGGCAGTGAAGAGACCTGTCCCCACTGCCAGCTGGGCCACCAGCGGTCGGCTCTGGGGCCAGCCCCAGGCATGGGGCCACTTGGCCAGTGCCACCAGCAGTGCCCCAGTGCCCAGGGTGGCTGCGGCACAGGTGACAGCAAGGAAGGCAGGGGCCACGCGCTGGAAAAGGGGACAGTACTGGTTGTGGCAGGGTGCGGCATCATAGTCCAGAGAGGTCATGTTGCTGCCGTCGTAGAAGTTGCCTATGATCTCCAGCAGATCCAGGGAGTTATTGCCCTCCAGGACGCTGGGGGTCTGTGAACAAGACCAGTGCGCATCAGGCAGGGATGTACCCAACCAACTGCAAGTGCCTGCAACCTAAGGCATCGCTTGAGATGTCCCCTCCGATGGGCTGCTGCTCCCTGCCATGGAGCTGCTGCCCTGCTGGTGCCGGGAGATTCATTTACAGCCCTGGTGCAGGTTGAGCAGTGCAATTTATCAGGGAGGGACACGCTGCGGGGAGAGGCTGCCTGCAGCTGATACTTCGGAGGCACGGGATTGTCCCAGGCTGGCCCCACTGTGCATGAAAGCCCAAATTTTCTTAGAGCCTCAAAGGAGGGTTGCAAACCCTGCAGCAGGTGAGTGCTAATCCCACTAAGCCATCTGCAAGTGAGCATTTGCCAGCAGTGTGCGCTGCGAGCTGTGGCCCCTCCCCACCGTGCACTCGTGTCCCCAGCCCTTGCATCCAGCAGGATGGGAAATTGCTAGGGAAAGTGGCAGGGGAGGGGAGAGGCACTCACCACTGGGATGCAGTTGCCCATGATGTGTGTCCCAGGACGGCACTTGCTCCTTTGTGTTTGGGGTCTCCAACAGGTGCTGTGCGTGGTGGCAGGTGCTCAGCTGTGCATGCTCACTGCAGGGTGCTGTGCCCAGCAGTGCAGACTCAGGGGTGCACGCTCTCCAACAGGTGCCGTGCACAGCACTGCATGCCCTCCGAGAGCTGCGTTGCACGGCAGTGCCTGCTCTACTCGCTCTCTCGTGGGCTCTGCTCGTCCCGCTTGAAAGGCAGGCAAAGGACTGCGGTAATGAGATAAGAGCTGCCTCTTTAATAGCAGCCCTCCCGGCCTGGCAATCCCCTTTGCCAGGGCCTAAAGGAAACAGGCGGGCCACCACTGCCGGTAAAGCCGGTGAGCTGCCAGCACAAGCCTGTAATTTCTCGAGCAGGAAACAATCGCTTCTTGGCAGAAATTAATTAGGAATTGTATTTACAGGCACCCTGGCTGTGTGGATGCTCCTATTGCTGGCCTGGACTCAGGCATGTGTGGAGTTTCATCCCAGGGATGCCGGCTGCGTGCAAATCTGGCTCTGGGGTGTAGGGTGGGTGGTGTGGGTGCAGGCGGCTGCTGAGGCGACCCTGTGGTGGTGCAGCCCAGGCACACAGTGCTTTCCAGCTCCTCTACAGCAAGGA